CACTATCGCCATACCTTTTTGAATAGTTCGGTTCGGTCCAACCACCGGGGTAGGCCGGGTATGGGTGTGGGTCGCTCGGGCTGGCTTAATAAAGCGGGCTCTTACTCTACGAAAACAACTATCTATTTGGGTTATTGGTTGTGCCACGGCTCGTGGTATAACAAGCAACTGGCCCAAGTATTCCAGGCCCGCTTGTAAAAAAAACTAATAAAAGCAGAAAAAAGTAATCGGTTGCAAAAAATGCCTGTGGTGAATCTTGGGAATAGTTTTCACTCTCAAGTTATCAGGACCACACGAATCTTAAAAAATAAAATACCCGGCGTGATATTCCCGCAACCAGTGAGATGTACATATGCACGCCTCTACGGTCATCCGCCGCTCTCTGTTGCCACCGACTTTTATATCGCTCTCTCCTTGGTCGCCCTTCGCGGCGCCCATCGGTCATGTCAGACATCGATTAAGACGATAACCTAACCCGACCTCCCCTAAATAAGCAAAATCCGATCTTTTTAAGAATATATGTATGTACTTGCTACCCCAAAACAAAATGAAATAAAATAAAATGATACTACTACGGATTAAGCAAGTCCTGCGGTGGCAGCAGTTTCCACTTTCGTGGAACCCAATGGGGGTAGTAGCTGGTGGGGAAAAGCAATGGGTGGGGGTGGGAGGGAGAAGAGTCAAGAGTGGCCAATGGGGAATCAATCGGGATGCACATGTGGAGGAGTGGTGGTACGTGGAGGTGCCATCCGGCCCAACCAGGCGTTGCCATTTGTGGGGCGGCCCCGCCCCTTCCCCGTCCTCGGAACCTTTCCTTTCTGAGTAACAAAATCCCCCTCCCCCTTTTGCCTCCCCGGAAAACACATCCATCTCCTCCCTCCACCAGATTAAGCCTGCCCGCCCGCCCGCCGCTGTGCTCCTCCGAGATCCTTCCTAGATCCGTCCGTCGATCCATGGCGCCGTCGTCGCCGCCGGCGGCGGCGGTGGCGGCCGAGGGAGACGAGCAGCAGCAGCAGATCGTGGTGGCCGCGGCGGCGGCGGCGGCGGCCAAGAAGGGCGGCGGGAAGAGGGGCCGGCGCGAGATGCGGCGGATCGAGGACGCCACCAGCCGGCAGGTGACCTTCTCCAAGCGCCGGAGCGGGCTGCTCAAGAAGGCCTTCGAGCTGGGCGTCCTCTGCGACGCCGAGGTCGCCCTCATCGTCTTCTCCCCCCGCGGCCGCCTCTACGAGTACGCCTCCGCGCCAGAGTACGTCCGCTCACTCGCTCGCTAACCCTAGCCCTAGATCGGCTCCCTTTCCCCCCTCCTCCCGCCTGATTTCCGCGTTTAATCCGCCTCTAGATTTAATCGTTTGTCATATCATAATCAAGGACACTGTCCGTACACATGAAATACAAGTTCCACTGTCACTCTCTCTCAGGAATTTGGTGAGATTTTTTCCTTCGAGTTCGATCGTTTAGATGGATGCAGGCAGGCCAGATCGCCCGATCTTGGATAATTAAGCCACTGTTCTAGGGTTAGGCGAGGAAAAAACCAGGAAATAATTTTGACACACCTTTTCGAGTATATGGTATATACTCAAATAAATTACAGATTCCTTGCTGTTTCTAGCAGTTTTTCCAGACATGTCCACCTCTGCGCATTGTTTGTTTGCTGGAAAAAGTCACTCGTGCTGGCCAGCACAGCCGTGTGCTGATTTTCTTCCCAATCTAGTAATCGATCTTGTTATGACTCCAACAACCATAAAAAAAGGGAAAATCTTGAGAAGTCGCCCTCGACTATGAACTGTTTGTGAGAATATCAAACAAGCACTGCATCATAGGACTACACAGTTTGTTTCTTAGCACAAAATAATTTCCCCTTGATTATTTTCTTGCTGGCAGTGGAGTAACATGCATGATCCTGGCCTGCTTTTGTTACCTGGACACGTTCGTTCGTACAAGAGCTGGCTCAGCGCCCATGAGTTAAGCTTGCTGTGTGGTACGAACGGACTATATATATCTTGAACTGGCTGCTTCGCTTTAATGCACATATATATAAATGCGCCTGTACTTTGCCTGCGAACCCACCAACTATCATACCGAGATGCAAATGTGTTGCCGCTGACAGGCGCGTGTCAGCGATGTGCATCTGACTTGCATCTGCGGACTGTTCCCCATACTTTACTAGCCAGATAGTACATGAAATACAGTGAACATCTACAGTAGTTTCGGCCCCATTTTTGGATAAAACTAATTAGCAGCTGTAGGGAATCTGCTCAGTCTGCTATTTCTCTTTTGGGATACGCATGTTATGTGTGTGTGGAATGAATGACCAAGATATTTTCTTTCTTTTTGCCCGATGAGAGAGATCCCAGCCCTTAACACTGATAATGGTTTCGTAATAACAATATTGCGAGACTGATTTTGATTGGAACTGAGAAACCTCTAATTGCACGTGATGCTGCATTGTTGAATTGTCGTGCATAGGGCCAATTTTTTCCACCAGTGACATGTGCATCTTATTGTTAGTGTGGCAGTTCATTTGATATGTTTTTCTTCTTAAAATGCAACAAGGGGTCTTTTCTTTTTGATAGAACTCTCCATGTTAAATCCACTTCCCTTCTGGAATAATTCTCAATATGAAGGCTACTGTTGCTAAAGTAATGTCATGTTGTTGTTACACTGTCGAAATGTAACTAGAAACCTCAGTATACACCTTATATTTTCAGTGCAACCAGGGCGTACAAGCCTCCAACCTAACATGGTGTATAGGCACATGTTTATGCACCAACGCTCAAAATAAATATATATTCTCCATAAAGGAAAATCATGATCGATCTGGTTTTTTGTGTTGTTTCATTCCTCATACCAGCACAAAAGCTTTTTGTACTAATTCCATCATCCACTCCTATACTTTGTGTTATCAATTGAACTTAGAAAGTTTCTGCATGACATGCTTACTATGGTTGATGAAAAATAATAATACCGAGCATATGTAGGCTATGAACTTTCACGTAGTTGCTCTACATGCTGCAGGATGAACAGGAAATCAATATGTATCTTTTCAGTTCAGTAAGATCCTAATTATCTCTATTTTTTTTAAGTTTGTTAGGATCTTGGCCGTAGGCCACAACTTAGGTGGTGGGCATATAATGCTTACCTCCTACTTGCATCTAGTAGGCAAATATCTAACTAATTGGCCCATTCAGTAGCTCTCCTCTCTCCCCAATAGTTGCAGTTTGGGTCGGATTCTCTCCGTGTGTAGAAAATTCACTCTAGGCCAATTTTAACCGCACATATGGGCTGAATACTAGAGGATATACACCTATTTTCTTATGGACTGGGGTGCGATGGACCAGGTTGGCCCCTCCGAAGCACCGCCACTAGACATAGACTCGTGTTGTAATGGTGTAGGGGCTTGACGTATTACTTCTTACAACTTTCTGTCCCTTTCGCTCTAATCCTCCCACAAATTACCGACCGTGTGACAATTTGGTACTATACATTCCTCCCCCACAATTTCTACCATCACCAACAAATGCAATACATAAACAAAAAAACACAACAATGCTTTCTTGATAAGTTCAGTCGCCTTGATGGAGTGTGACCTTGTCCTATATTAGGAACACCACGGGAGGGGTTGGACAATTGCAGGCCGTAACGTGCTCCACATAACGCTCTCTCAACCCCGTGGCCAGACGTCGGCCCGAGTCATAATGCAACTCCTCCAGACTCAACTTAGAGCGTCTCGGGAGCTATAAATAGATCCAAGAGCACTAGCGCCCTCCCCCTGAGTGTATTCTTATTTTTTTTGCAAAAAGGATCCATATTTAGTATAAAAGTTCATCAAAAGTGTAAAACACCTCAAACATAATAAAAATTACATTGAGGTCCCTAGATCTCCAAACAACCACTATAGCCGCCAAAAAGAGCCGCTGACGCGTCGCTGTCGCTGCTCCCCTACGGGAGTCTGCTTGACCTTGTTGATGACAACCGTGGAGTCTTCGTGCACGTGCCCCTAAGAACCACCGTCCTGGCGCCACATTCCGTCGTCGTTGTTGAACCATTGAATAGATCTGAAGCACCTGACACCAAATCTCCCCACACGATGATAAACCCTAACCTCACCTCCCCAACGAGGCGATTGAAACCTACGTCGAAGCTCCATCAACTATGTCCGGATGGAAAAACTTGAGGAGGATCAGAGCCCGAAAGAAAAAGTCGAAGAGGAAGCAACGGACCCGGAGCGCCGCACATGCGAGGACAAAATAGTTCTAACCTAAAGGTGAGGTTTTATAGTACTCCCTCCGTTCGGAAATACTTGTCATCAAAATGAATAAAAGGGGATGTATCTAGATATATTTTAGTTCTAGATACATCCCTTTTTGTCCATTTTGATGACAAGTTTTTTCGGACGAAGGGAGTACTCGCCAAGGGATCAAGAGACACAAAGACAACTGTGCAGCTCTGGCTTAGATAAGATGGAGCATCCTCCTGGTAGCCCTAGCCTTGGCAAAGATGATAACCTGCCATTCTTCGGCCACCACTTCTCCTCTTCAACGACATGATGGAATACTGCCCCACAGCTTCTTATATGGAGTTCCCACCTACATTGGCAAGGTTGACTCCCCAACATGTCTTAAACATTGCTCTCTCTTTGCCAAGCAGAGCAACTTTGAAGCTAAGAAGGTGGGGATAGCCCCATCCTATTTGGTGGGTGACACCCAACACAGTACAACAAATACAAGGATGCTTGTGGCCATTCACCATGGCACCAATTCATCAAGTTTGTTAATGGTACCGAATTTGGTTGAATGTGTCTCAGTAACACCGTTGTCAAACTCATCTCCCTCAAGGGCACCAACATGGTAGTAGTCTGGTTGTCTTCCAGTTCAATGACCTACTTGGCCGGGTGATGTGCCTACCAACTAACCCAACGGGTGGTGATTTACACCACCAACCACCAGGAACCGCTAAAGATCAAAGTGAAGGTAGGGCGCCTGAATTCTCACCTGGGGGCGATGTGTTGGGCACAACCAGCTCTAGAGATGACCGTGGACACAAGCCATTTACTCGGGCCTTATGATGCACACCTTCTGGTCAGATCGAGCAAGAAATAGTGAATCAGTTATGCCCCTCAATATTTCTCCCCTTGCCTGAGGTGTGTAACAACCCCTTAACTAGCTGGAGTGGCACCACAAAG